TGTGTGTGTGTGTGTGTGAGAGCTCATGCGGAGGATAAGGGTAAAGTTAGTCGTTGGACCACCCCCCCCACAGTATCCGTCAAAATAGTTTGTGGTGTTTTCTAACACCAACATGTGAAGCAATTAGAGGTGGCGTGCAAAACACAATGACGCCCCGGTGCTAATTAAAAGAACAACTCCCCTCCGATATGCTGACTGCAGAGATCAGCCACAAAGCAAAACGTCCGCAAATGTACTCACAGATTATTTAGCCGTTAACTGGTCAGACATGATTTTTTTAAAGCATTCGGTAGCATCTTTCACAAATAGGTCATTAATGGCAACCAAAGGCTTTATTAATGATTATGTACAGATAAGTTATCGGACATAAATAGGTTCAACTTTTGAAGCCTCGTGAGTATTTATTAATGGATTCACAACCTTTAAATACATTATTACCAGAGTAACCAGAAAGGGATTTTCCACAACCTCGATATGCATCATGTTTTCCTAATAACAGCTTATAGATCTTTAAAAGACCGAGAACATTATTTTTTTCAAGCTTTTAATTTCCATTTAAAATGCTTCATAACAGGTGACTCATTAGAAATTGCTAGCGTCCATTCTTCTTCTACTTCAGGTGACACGCATGCACATATGCAAGGATATGAGCATGTTTCCAATTTAAAGTCCTGCAATCAGTCTGACGTACATCAGTAATCGCAGTGTTGCTGTGCGGCTCCGCGTACGACAAATCTATATATTGTGTTCCTTCCATCCTGAATATCATAAGCTAAACCAATCTTGTGGATGAACGCCTTTAAGTTAAACCTCAAAAATGCGAGGGGTAAAACTAGTCTTGCAGGAGACATTCAATCAGACACTGAGCTGATATTCAGGTAGTTACTGAATCGTTTAGATTAGGTGTCACTAATGTTTAGTGGGAGTCGGGAGCCATACACTGCCTGCCGAGGTGCCATCACAAAGCTGCTTCATGTCACTGATGTGACACAATTAAAATCCTCTTGCATGTGCTGCACTCAAGTTAAGAGAATCACCCACAGAGGGAGAGGAGGAGGATTTATTGTGTAAAAAGAAGGATGAAGAAAAAACTACATCCCATTAAGTTGGTCTTAATTCATCATATCCATGATAAAGCCCAAATAATTTGATGCTAACGTTTACCCCACGAGGCTACAATCTTCTATCAGCGACAAAGTCAGCAGCTTCTCAATGACCACTGGCCATATGTGATATTTACAAATGCTGTTTTTTGTCTGAGGATTAGTTATGCCGCAAATGAGATTTATTGTTTGACACTGGAGACTAATGGAGACGCTGCCGCAGGACACCATTGGATTTTTAAGACAATGAAGAACCTTCTGGCTCGAGGCGACGTGGGACTGACAGTGGTACGGAGAGGAATCAACATCAATAATCTTTCATCAAGTCCACAGTGGAGCACTTTAGCACTGATACCATTCAATAAATAACTGTAGGCCATCGTTCAGCACTGAACTGGCCGAAAAAAGCGGAGGATGGATTCGGGAGGAAAAGACTTCGCAGTGGAAGGAAAAAACAAAGAATTGTTCATTCGGAAACATAGATACAGTCACGATGACTCCATATGTGCACGTTTTAGGTGTCTTCAAAAGCCAAAGAGTCACAGTATACGACCAGCACTTTCACGATTTTGTACTGAAAATCACTAAAAATCCATGGACAAGAAACATTCAACTTTGGTACCTGGTTATCAGACATTACTCAGACTTCTTCATGGTAAAGTGAGCTTCTTGTTATTTATTTAAGGAAGTGATATGAGTTCACGCTGCACCTTTTCTGGTGCGACATTATGACGCACGTGGAACTTCCAGGCGATGGCGTGTAAATAACCATCAAACGTGTGTCCACTTACTGTTTTTTTAACATCTCAGGAACAACATGCAACAACAACGTTTCTGTGAATTGTGAAATATGCAACACTGGCAAGACAGCGACAGCTTGGACCATGACTCAGTGGGTAGAAAAGCAGAAGGGCAAACTCCTCTACTTTACCCAGATTTTTAAAAAACTGTGTTTTGGTACAAAGAGGTTTTATTCATAATGCTGCCATTTCCTTAAAACTCATCTGACATTAAAAAAAACACACAGATGTGACCCTGAAATCCTAAATCCTCAATTCAGATGAAGCTTCAGCAGTCAGACTCAGTCAGAGTGAGGGTTCTCCAGTGTTTGTGTCTCTATTATTAAAACTAAAGAAAAGTGACATGTAGGGCATGATTTGTTTTTTTGCTTGAAAACTACTAAAATCATTGACTGGTTATAAAATATTTGTGTTCAGAGATTTGATTTATAAGAAAAAGGAAACATACAACAGAACTTTCTCTGATCAAATGTATCAATGTGGTGCCATCGATATCTAATTAGGTGACAGCACAACATGTATCCTGGTTCTATGTTAAGCCTTCACGCTGTATTTGATCATATTTGTGTAATTCTTGATTGACCTGATCGGTGTAGCAGCAGAAAAACGCAGGGGGGGGGCAACGGTCGTGGGTTTTTCACTTGTTTTAACAAAGTTATAACGCTGTGATGTTAAAACAGTGGAATGCCACCAGCGAGAGCCCACAGACAGTTTTCTCTGTGACAGACCGAGTGATGACCCGGCCCCGTGTGATGGATATGTGACAGGGCGGCTCGGGGCCCGAGGGCCTGGCTCTTGGGGGTGGGGTTTCGCCATAATGGTGTGCTTAATTACCTGCACAGCCACACAGCAGGTCATTAGTCAGACTGGGACGCAAGGTCTCACCTGTCACCAAGAGATAAACAATCCTCCTACCAGATCTGGGGACCTCAGAGGGAAGAGAGGCCGTTGAGGGGAGTTAGGTCAGGGAAACATAGGATGAGTGGAAAAGTGTACATTTCTTAAAGGGCATGTGTTGAAAAACACCATTTAAATCCACTGATGCAAAGCAGCAACAAAGGGTTTAAGGAGGTTTTGGATTTGGTTGGGACAGCATCTTTTCTTGATTATCGTGACACGTCAGGTGACAAACTTGATGGATTAGGAGCAGGACATGGTCTTTATCTGCTAAGTGCAAAATGTCACACTCTGAATTATGGGTTTGGAGTCAAATACAGATGGAAATGTGAGATATTATATCCTACAAAGAAGAGACAGCCAGATAGAGATGCCAACAAGGCACTGGCTGAGGCATTGTAATCACTGTGTACAGTACGGACTGAAACATAAAACTGTATCCCTGGCTCCACACTCTGACATTTATGGACCCCTGGTGCTTCTTATGGGGCATTTTGTGGCGTGAGAAGCCTGTGCTTAAATGTGGCTGGCAAATAAACGGCGGCTAACGTAGAGAAGGCCGCTCTGGCTTCTCATTGTATAATCTCTGCTATGGTTCATTAAGCGCCACCTTTTTATTTGCAGACGGGTGCTAACCTGGTGCTGTCGCTCCCCGGCTTGTTGTAGCCTTCCAGGGCGCCCTCCCACACGCTGTTGGCCATCGCGTTCCCGATGGCGGTCATGACCATGCTGAGCTCCACCGGCCAGTCGTCCAGGTCCAGGGAGCGGACACGGGACAGGTGGGTGCCCAGGTTCCTGTGGATGCCCGAGCACTCGATGCACATCAGGGCGCCCAGGTTCAAACTGGCCCAGTCTGGGTCTGCATGGGAGAGGACAGAAAAACGATTATGACGATAGAACAGGAGTGAAGCTTTGCCTATTACTAGCTTCGTCATACATAAAGTCGTTACCATCCACGCAGACAGTTAGATCTCATAGTAGTTTCAGTTGCCGTTGTGGAAATCGGAATCTGTTGCAAGAAAGCTACACTGCCATAGATTGAGTTATTCCTGTGGTAAACGCTGCTTCTAGTTATGATAAGAAAATAAACTTTTATTTAAATAATTTTATACCTAAATGATTGACTTTAGATAAACAAGAGTAAAGGTACAACAAGCAGTATCCATCATGTTTAGGACTTGAGGCCAAATGCCCGAATTTCTGAACATAATTTTAGTTTCTTATTATAACAAACCCTTTATGTGTGAGACATCAGGTTTTCAGATGAAGACTCATACTCACTGGGTGCGTCACAGTCCACACAGAAGCTGTTCCCCCTCACGTTACGTATGGACTGAATGGCCATCGCATCACTTTGGCTTCCTAACCGAGACTGTAAAGGAACGAGGGGAAAGAGTAAGTCAGCAGGAACTAATCATCAGAGGGGTAAGACAAGGAAAAAAAAACATTATAACCGGACTCAAACCACAGACAAGCAGTGATGGGGAGGGAAGGAGGGAAGGAGGGAAGGAGGGAAGACGTGTTTGAAAGTCTAAGGGAGAGACTGAGGGCAGAGGGAATATGAAAATGAGGCTGTGTCTCCCCAGTACACTGACACAAGCCGTGTTCTGTCTCTGATGTCTGTCAGTTCTAATAAGAGATTGCCCACACTGCAGCGCACCTGTCTGACAACCTCCCACATGTGACAGCTTGTAGTGGGTGAGGAGGGGCGGGGGAGGGCACAATAAAGGTCGGAAAACGAGGGTGTGTGTGTGTGTGTGTGTGTGTTAGAATGAAGCTGCAGAATTGCAAAATGATGACACTGCTGTAATTAAGATGATGATCGGCCCAGAACCCCCTGTCCAGCTCGACTGTACCTTATTTTTTATGCTCTCACACGACTGCAGGCTGGCGAAGATCTGGCTCTCGATCGCTTGGACCCACAGCTCTCTCTCCTCGTACGTGGACGCTTCAAAGTTCCACGTCTGACCCGTCAGCGACACGATGATGAACTCAAAGGAATCCTCTTGCTCTGAAAGACACAAACGAAAAATGGATAATTAGCACTGAATCAAGAATGCACGTGGGTGCTGTTTCTATTTTTGGGACAAAGCAGACTCTGGGGGAGACGTTGTGTGTTGCATGTGGTTTATTTCTGCTGCACATGCGTGTTAGAAAATCACCTGTCACCACACGGAGGAGGCACATGTTAGCTGGAGCCACACACACACAATCTGACTCTGCAAATCATCGGTGCAACTCAGTGATTGAACATTAATTGAAGAGGAGCGTTTATATTTTTTTGTAAATAATCATTTTTAGGAACAACCACTTGGTAAACTACTTTATTTGAGTTTTTCTCCAACTCATAATTATATTTCTAATTATTCTGCTGGCTCACGAAATCCTTTATCTTGTTGATTGTCACAGGACAATCTTCCCTGCACCAGTAAATATAGATGCCCCACGAGTTTCTCTAATTTTGAGTCATTGCTTTTCTTCTCGCCACTGGTTACGACACGTGCACTACCTTCACTGTGGAGTGTGGGGACGGGTTTGCAGAATATCTTTTTAATGATATTCAGGATCTGGTCGGGTTCAGTCACGTTGCCTGGGCTGTCTACTTGATTTTTCACACTCTATATGTAGAGTCCCTTTCATGTTCAGGTCAGGCCTGAGCTGCTCTTGTCATCTCAACTCCCCTCAGATTGTCTCAGTTAGGCTAAAGTTGGATAAAGTTTTGTCAGATCTAATGTGACAAGACAATGTCTGACAATCAGCTACAGTGAAATCAGTCAAAGAACAAACAAACAAACAAAACAAAAATAACACAAACATTTTGAATCAGGGAATTTCAGCTTGTTTTTAAAGAAAATATAAATATTGCTAATATGATTTTAAAAGTAGACATTTTGCGGACATCAGAATAGTGAGTTTGAAATCTCACTAAATATCTTTCTCAAAGCAATTTTAGTGAGTTTAATCATGAATTAATTTTAATATGTTAATGTCTTTTGCAGGCCATGTTACAATGAGACAGGTAGTTTTGGTTTTCATTACTCTGCAAACTCAACTAGATTGTTTATCTAACTGAAAACCACCCTTGTTGTGTATTTAATTCTTTTTTTCTGAAATGCATCTTTTGATACTACGCAAATGAACTTGACCTGAAACTGGTTTTAAAGACGGTGAATCGGAAGTGGCTCCGTTACATCCGCTCTTCGTGTTAAACCGAGACTTATGAACATGTCACCTGTCGTTTCCAAACAGGAGGTCTGACACGACATATGTTCCAACACATGCCGCAATGCCTTTGCCGCTCGGAAGCAATTCATTAACTCGGTACTGTACAATGTGACTCGTGTAACATCTCTGGTCTCTGCACATGCTTGAGCTCATAGCCAAATGATTTGTAATTACCTAATTATGTCTATGCAAATAGTCGTCTCATTTGCATAAAGCATGTTTGGAGGACTGCAGACAGACACAAGGGGAATGTTGTTTTTTTTATTTGATCCACTATGTCCTGGAAATAGTTCTGCTGATATGTTATTAATGTTGTGTATTAATCACCATCATCATTTATCACTTAAAGTTGTTTTTCATTGCACTAATGTATTTAGACTGTAATCCATTCTGACATTTGATGAGCGCTGAAACCTTTAATATGGAATTAAACCTGTATTCATGGTAATCTAATGATATAATGATAAAAAAAGATCTTCAAACAAATCACCAGTTTAAAGAAACAACTACACTTTGTATTTACGATCAATTCCCCCCCCTGCTGTGAGACGTAGCTCCGTGCCACTTAGATGACAGATGTCTGACGGACGCCACTAATGTAGCGATCCCCGTGCTGCGGTGGAGGGGCGATCTCTTCAGGGGGAAAGCAATAATCCAATTAGCTCGACACCGACTTCAATTATCTGATTTAGCTTGTGAAATTGACTACAGGTCACAGAGAATCAATAAAAGACTTAGGAGCCTCTTTATTTAGACTCGGAGGGAAAAAGTCTTCTTGTGGGTGCAACGTTTTGAAGCCATGGCACGGATTAAAACATCAAAATGGTCAATTTAAAAAGGAACCTAAAGGTGACAGAGAATAAAAGCAAAAAATACACAGAATAAAGATTACATTTAAAAAGGAAAAAAGCGTGATTAATTAGATTACATCGAAAATAAATCAATTTCTTTTTCTCCAACGTACCTGCAGGTACATAACTAATGCATTTGATTAGAATCTGTGGCTCCTGGACTCGCACGTTGTTGTACTTGTGTTTTCATCTTTTTAAAAAACCTGAACAAAGCTAATTATTCTGTTGGCTGCCCAGGCAATAAATTGGAGGCATTAAAACACTTTCATTATGGAGATTAAAAAAGCGACGGATGGCTGACTTTTTAAACTGATGAGTATACGAGGGAAAACAAATCTAATTCTCCATGCATAGTAATGCACACGGGACACGGTGGCCACTAAAGAGACAGAGGAGCCTGTGCAGCAGGGAAGTTTTATGTGTGACACAGGCAGGGCCGCTGACAGGTTTGGCTGGGCCCGGGACAAAATTCTCTCAATGGGCCCCCCCCCCCCCCAAAAAAAAAACCCCACACACACCTCTACTTTCTCAGTCCCTACCCTTAAATGACGGAAATTCAAAAAAATACTCATTACTCAACAAACAATTTATTTGAAAATTTTAACATTAACTTTGTGTGCCATGCGCCAGACTTTTGTGGTGTCCAGCTTCTTTGCAAGCTTGTGTTCTATGGAAAGCATTGCCAGCCCGTTGAGCCTCTCCTGTGACATCTTTGAGCGCAAGTAGTTTTTTATAAGCTTCAATTTGCTGAAAGCTCGCTTACCTCCAGCCACAGTCACAGGCATGGACAGGAAGATCCTGAGCAAAATGCAGAGGTCCCCATAAATGCTCCTGAATCACTGTGTCTTTCTCTCTCTCTCCCTTCACTCTCCTCCCCTTCTCTCTCACTGGTAGCCTGTTCTTCCTCTCTCTCACTGGTAGCCTGTTCTTCCTCTCTCTCACTGGTAGCCTGTTCTTCCTCTCTCTCATACTGTTTGGTAGCCTGTTCTT